ATTAATTTATAATAATTATTACGACTTACTAGCTCTCCAAAATTATAAATTCCTTCTCCAATTAAAGCAGCAATTGATATACAAAAGGCTCTGGTTGACTTCTCATTAACTGAACAAAAAAAATAATAAAAATAATATTAATTTATTAATTTATTACTTGTCATGGTAGTCAGATCAACGCAGCCTAAATATTTCAATGCATTGCTATAGTAACCAGCATGATCACCTTTAATCTATAAATATCATTATCGAAAAATCATACTTAATTAATTAATTAATGAATACTTTGGTTACCTTGGAGTATTCGCTGCAAAAATCATAGTATCTGCCATGAACTGGGGTAACACCATCAATTGTGTCTAACAATTGACCAGCTTCTTCCATAATCTCCTGTTAATAATAATAATAATAATAAACAATTAATGAATATTTTAATGAGCATTCCAATTATTATTAATTATTTATTATATTTGAAACATACTTTAACTTCGTCCAGTTTGTTAGCAATCAGTTTAACTCCACCAATTGCAACCATACACAGAACTCTGGACTCTACATCATTCTTCACCTTAAGAAGAGGAAGCTTGTAATCTTTTGAATATTTTTAACATACTTTCTCTTTAATGCTTTCAATAAATAATAGTGCTTCGTCGTAATCTGAATAAATAATAACAATAATAATTAATAATAATAATAATAATAATAAATAATATCAATAATAATAATTAATAATAATGTTAATAATAATAATTAATAATATTAATAATAATAATTAATAATATTAATAATAATAATTAATAATAATAATAATTAATAATATTAATAATAATAATACCTTTCATTTCTCTTACAATGACGAGGCAGATCTCAACGAGTGACAATGGATTGATTCTATTAAAGTTAATTAACTACAATTTAATAACTTTTAATAACTGACTTGTGTTCGAAATCCGTAATAAAGTTATGATAAAACTAAAAATATATAATAAAAAAAATAATTTAAATATTCTTAATAATTACTGACCTCAACTAGTCCGCCATTTTGAAAACATGGATGATTGACAAAGACCCTTATCGACTCTGTCAATTGGTGCCACAGCCTAATGAGGTAATATGACGTCACTGTACAACAAAATAGGCTTACTTTTTGGCGTGTAGTTCATCAAGCTGGGCCCAACTTTGTCCCAATTCTACGTCAGTCGCTTCTCTTGATTTTTGAATCAAATACTCACTCACAGATCTGGACATTACTACAAACTCCGCTAATTATCGTATACTATCCGCAGCATTCGCATACTCCTAGTTTAGTATCCGGTGTTCGTATACTCTTCAGCTCACACAAAGACAGCCACACCTTGGGGGGTTTGCAAAATGCCTGAAGAGACCAACGAGCCTTCTTCTCATGGAGCTACTCCTAAGCACCAAGGAGAGCGCCATAAAGCCATTCAACCAGCAAAGACATGTCCTAAATGCGAAGACTTCGTAAAGAACGGCTCATCTATCCACTGGACCCTAGCTTACAGGAGGTGCAGGTGTCACAGGTCCTGGAAATACAGTCTTCCTGAGGAAACGCTCTCTTTTGACACCAGATGCGTTAGTGCAATGAAAAGATCTGCATCATTTAATGCGTACAAGCCCGGACAGAGTTTGCTTATTCCTCGCAAGCAAGGAAAAGGAACACTGGCTACTCCTTGGTTGAGTACTGCAGCAGCAGCTTCCCCTGCTGCTACAGGTCGTAAGAACATGCTCATCAAAAGGTTCACAATGCCAAACAACCCTCACCTTCCACCACTTGCCAGCTCGGTCAAATTGAACTCTGTGAAAGTGAGAGATAAGGTAAATGCTAGCAAATCCAGAGATGAGAATAATCATACAGTACTGCAAAGCAATGGAGGAGTGGAGCCTTTAGCTAGCAACAGCTCTTCATCATCATCGCATAAGCAAGTTTCTTTCTGTGTAGTGGATTCTCCTACCCATCACACTTCTAGTAACAATGCCGGGAGAGTTGTTGCGATGAAAAAGGATAAGCTTGAAACTCAATCGTCAATCCCTTCCTTACCTCAAATACAAAGGTATGACGTATATACAAGCATATGCATCAATGATGATTTCTATTGCATACAGCAACTGTGGATTAATTCAGTCCATTCTTACTAATGGCGGTGCTACTACTGTGTCTTCTAGTACTGATTCTGAATCTGAGGAAGGAACAGGCGGTGCAAAAACTACTTCCGTTCTTGTTGCAAAGAAGCCTGGTAGATTTGAGGTATGGGCCATTGCCATATAGATAATCAATAATAGCATTGTTTTAATTGTTATAGTTTATTAATCTGCTGAAGTGCGTTCAGAATCAGACAAAGTTGCTTGGATCAGATCTCTTTGATTTGCTTGATACAAACGATGATGGGTTAGCAACAAATAATAATAATAATTATTATTATAGCTTGTCAGGCATCTTTCATTTGCCGAAACTATGTCTGGATTAACTAAGAGCTGGCAAAACTCTTCGGCAATACTAAAGTTAGAGTATCACTTAAAACCGGTGAGTTCAGTAGGATCGAAAGACAGTTATAGTCATACTAATATCATTGTAATTAGTTATATCACATGCTTGGTGATGATACTTATTTTGGTAAAAGAGATTTCATTCTTTGCTTTGCCATTGCTCAAATATTCAAGGAAAACAAGTAAATAGAATAACATGATGATAGGCACGTTTCTTTAGCTCTAGTATACCATACTTATCAAATGTTGATACCCAGTTTTATTGCAAGACTGTTAAGCTATTAATGGTATAAGTCAAAATGCAGCTGTTTTAATTCAAAATATTTAATTGCATTATCGTTCTAGGAAATGATTACAGAATGCAAGGAGATTGATGTTCATGCACGTGTATCAATACCAGAAATAGAGGTATAGGTGGATTGTATTGCTTGATTGTTACTGTAATGAATTTATACTACAGAGCTCAGTTAAAAAGCTAGGCGGAAAAATATCATTTAACATAGCAACAGCTTTGAAGGTTCAGTCACAATAATACTAAATAGAAATAATCATAAATTATATTATTGCAGCTTAAAAGACATGTTGAAGGATTCACATACCTGGAATTGTTGCTGTTTTGTCCATATTTATTAACAATACATAAATGAACAAGTAAACAGAACTATAATCATACTTTCAAGCATCAGTTTTATTATTACAATATCATTTTGAATGACCTGCAAGCCATCTCAAGGTGTTTTTAACACATTATCGAGTGCTGGGGCTAATTTATCGTGGATGATTTTAGAAAGTGGCAGAATGCAAGAAATTTTGTAAACTATTCATGAATATTTAATTTAATCAATTGGCCAATGAATAATAATTAACTAGGCCTAGTAGCCACGCCCTAGCTTGCTGCTATGTAATGAATTTATAAGCTACCTTTACTCTTTGAAAGTCATCACTCATCAGTGTGTGTGTGTGTTAAGGAGCATAAGGACATCATGACTACAAGACGTCGCTCCAAGTCTCCTTTCCGCTTCATGCATCGTGGCGGCCGTGGTTCGCACTCACCCAGCCCGGCAAGAAGAGCACCGTCGACTATAGCAACCAGCACAATTAGAGCAACCAGCAGTAATGGAAGCATTAATAGTTGTGGCATGAACGGGACAGCTACTAGTGGCTCCATAGAAGAGAAAAGGGCATCCCCGGCTAAAGACTGCCCGACTCCTGATCGACCCAGAAGCACGGCTAGCTGCAGCTCTGGTTCGAGTAATGGCATGACACCATCTTCATCAGTTATGCTTGAAGGAGTACTCGCCACTACTCCCTCACTGCCTAAAGTGGTGCAAGTAAGGAGGACCAATCTAAGGAAGAGACCACCTGATGATCCGATTAGTGGATGGGGATTTGTTCTCAGAGGAACAACATCAGAGTTTAAGAATGGAGTTAAAGTTTATACGTGCCATGTTGAGACTGTTAAAGAAGGAAGCGCTGCCATGGTAAGAGAGAGAGAGAGAGAGAATGGAAAAAGAAAGAGGGAGCGAGATAAAAAGAACACAGTTCAAAGATAGAGTAAATAATCCTTTTAATGTTGAGCAAGTGCAACTGGCATTAGTAAATAGTAAGGAAAGCAGACAATATGAACCAGGCGAGAGAGAAAATGGAAAAAGAAAGGGGATGAGATAAAAAAGAACCAGTTCAAAGATAGAGTAAATAATCCTTTTAATGTTGAGCAAGTGCAACTGGCATTAGTAAATAGTAAGGAAAGCAAAGCATTGACAAACAATATAGACCACCTTTGCTTGTTTATCGTGTTTACTATTTTATTTAATATAAACAATAATCATAATGGAGGGTCTAACGTTATTCTAGCAGATCTTTTGAATTGTGTTCATTGCCCTGTTCTTTCTCCTCCTCTGTCTTTCCTCTGTCTCCTCCTCCTCTCTCTCTCTCTCTTTTATAGAACGTAGGCATTAAAGAAGGAGATCAGGTAAGAAAGAAAGAGTGTAAAAATGAGCGAGCGAGAGAGAGAGAGAGAGAGGAGAGAATGAGAAATGAAGGGCAAGGGTGAAGGGAATTTGGCTCACTGCCATGTCTACAAGTTCATAATCAGAAACATGTACTGTCATGTTTTATTACATGTAATTCTATATGTGATTCTTGGCAAGTGTGTCAAGGATATGTTACACTGTATTTCGTTACACTATTGAGACTGGATCTGCATTGGGTTACCGCCCACTTAATGTCGCTACCATAGCAACGTGGAAAGTACAATACCACGTGAATGCATTTATTATTATTATTATTATTATCAACATCCTCTCTTTTTCTCTCTCTTTTTAGATTTTGAGCATTGATGGTGAGCTTGTAAAAGACTTTCAACACTCGAACGTAGTCAAAATATTTCAGAGCAGGGACAAAGTGGAGTTGACGTTACTGCCTACAAAATTTAAAGGAGTAAGAAAAGAGAGAGAGGCAGAGATAGAGAGAAAGAGAGGGAGGGAGAGAGAGAGAGAGAGAGAGAGAGGGGGGGAGAGGTATTTGAATAAAAGAAAAAGAGAGAGAGAGAGGAGTAAGAGGGTCCTAATTAAAGTTCAAAGTAAGAATGAGAGGGAGTTAAAACAGATACATTCCACAGTCGAAGGTTATTCGATTAATTTATATGATACTAACTATGGAATGCACAAACACTCTCTCTCATTAGTATCACCTGTAACATGAGCAAAGAGAAGCATACCATACCTTAACAGATGTATCATTACACACAAATAAAGCATTATATATTATACATGTACATACTATAAGGGCATTGTCAATTAGCATTATTAGCACCAATGTGCACTAATACATGTACATGTATGTACATGTAATACATGTACTGATACATATGTACATGTACATAATAGTGTGAATAGTAGATTATGTAGTGTTTTACTGTAATAGGCAGTTCAAGTGAGGGTGACTGACTTCAACAGGCAGTCATTGCAGTATCTCTGGTCTTTAACAATGTGCCTCCAATCACTAGAAATCATGTAAGATCCAATAAATTCAATTATAACTTGTGTAGCCTTGTAGCCCAATCTATACTGGCACTAGCTGGCTGGTATAGACATTATTGTTTGTTATTTACTTACAATCTAATCTCTTTTCCTCCTTTCCTTCCTTCCCCCAATAGCTTAGTCATGGTGACAGTCCTGTTTCCAATAACTTAATGCGTTCATTTATTTTGATAACTGTTGATAATAATAACAAATGGACTGTTAAATAAATATAGCCTCAGAGCCCCCCACATATTTCCCCCTTCTCTCAATTCATCCATTGCCCTCTACATTTACTCTCACTTTATCTGTCTCCTCTATAATGACCTCTCTCTCTCT